CCCCAAAACCCCAAAACCCCAAAACCCCATGATTTAAAAAGTAAACTAAATTTTGATTTAATATTTAAATGAAATTAAAAATACATATTTTCCTTTTTTTAGCACTCTCAATAAAGCTATCACTCTCATCTATTTAGGTGATACACCCTCTTAGTTTAAGAGAAGCTATAGGAAATGAGGGATATTTAAAAGCAAGCTTGGGAAATTTCGGGCATATTCAATATGGTAGTTCAATTGTAATATTACATAGAGTATATTTATTTTTAGCATGGAAAATTAGTTTATCCTAAATCTAATAGAGATGGTTGTCTACCTTTCAAACTAGAAGATTTTAATGGCGATGAACTAGCTGAACAAGCTTCTGTAAAGGATATCATTATGGTCGATAGAGGATTATGCTCTTTTGTAGCCAAAGTTAGAAATATTGAAGCGTTTGGTGTGCATTTAGCAGTTATTGCTGATACTGTCAATGAATTTACTGAGGCCATTGTAATGGGCGATGACGGAACTGGCCATGACATTAAGATTCCAGCTTATATAATTAAGTCAACAGATGCCGAGAAAATTAAGGCATAGCTCGAGAATGCTAAAATTGAAGATTCATATGTTTTCATAAAATCAGATATCGAAATAGCTCATCCTGACAATATTGTTGAGTATGAACTCTTTTATAGTTCAATAATAGATCTCGATAACAGACTTTTAGAAGATTTGGCCAGGTATTAAGCTGCATTTGGTGATAATGTAGTTTTTACTCCTCGAATCAGGTCTTATAGTTGCATACCTTGTTCAAGTATTACTAGATAATAGGACTGTTTGTCTGATGGTGGTTATTGTCCACTTAGAAGTAACAATCTTGTCGAGTTAACTTTGGATGATATCCCAAGACGTCTAATTATGGAAGAATCATTGAGAGAAAAATGTTTACTCACCTCTCTCATAAAGAATAGTGACTTATCACGAGGGACATAGAGATGGTTCGAATATATGCTTGCATTCTAAAGCTCTTGTCTATCCAATTAAAACTTCAATGCCGAATGTTCATATGAATAGATGTAACAAATTGGACTTAGAGACATATAGGAGATTGTAAACTGCTATAACAGCTCTTTTATAATAAATAAGACACTCACCTATAATGAATTTGAGCATAATGCAATTTTAGACGAAGATTATGAAAGAGCAGAAATGTTTTCAGTGAAAATTAATCCCTCTATAGTTATAAATAATATGACATACCGTGGTGATTTTGAGGCATATGACATATTTATGGCGATATGTTCAGGGTTTTCTTCAAGACCTAATATTTGCAAGCTGGAAAATATGAGTAAAATTGAAAAGTCTAGATTCAGAAGAAACGGCAATCACTAAAGATCTCATCATATCAATTTTATTCATGTTGGCGTAGCTATATTCATAGTGGTGTCTATCAATTTAGGAGCACTTTGTGCCTACAGATATTTCAATAAAAAGAAGCTAAAAACACAATTAAATTAACATGTTAACAGTGCAGTAAGCTAGTACTTCAAAATATCTTAGAATGAATCATAGAATGATATCTAAGAGTGATAAGACATAAAGAATGATCGCTTAAAATTTTAATTAAGATAATCATAATGAAATCAAGAATTTTAAATTATCTTATAAGTGGTATAAATGAATTTAATATTAGCACATAGTTAATTTTATCTCATTTTCAAATAGCTGCAATACTTCATTAATTCATTACTTAGAGTCTAAAATATTCTTCCAAATTGATTCACTTCTAAACGTTTGAATGGCGTCTTTCTTAAATTGATACTTATTTACTAAATCTCCAATAAGTTTTGATGGGACTTGGACTTTGAATTTCTTATCACACTCAGGGCAAGTATCACTAGTTAAGCACTTCTTGCAGGATGTGTGACCACAAGGGGCAAGTATCACAGGATCTTGAAGGAGACCCATACAAGAGTAGCAACTAAGATTATTTTCTGTCGAGCTCATCACATGATCTAACTTAGCTAGTAGGTTGTTTATTTTTTCCTCCTTCAAAGTGGCAATTTTTAGTCTGTTTTCAATTTCATCAAGATCACCATAAAGCCTTCTTATGTTATCTAATTAATTCTTGTAATTGGTGTTTTCCTTCAGCAAGTTATTTATTTCATTATGTCTCTTTTTCAATACTTCATCTTAAAGTTCAAGATCTTTTTCCAATTGACCTATTTTCTTCATGGCATCTTCAAGCCTTTCATAAGTGTAAGCTGATTTTTTCTCGAATTCTTGCTTTTCCTTTAATAGATCTTTCTTTTCTTATCTAAGCTACGAAATTTCAGCTTCCATTGATCTCTTTTCCTTTATCATTTATTCCATTTTAGAATTCTATTCAGATTTTTGTTTCTCTAATGTTCTGAAATTCTGGAGTTCTTTTTCCAACTATTGTCTTAAAAGGGCAACTTCATCAATGTTTGTTGTCGGCTTGCTATTCATTTAATCAACTTAATCTTTATATTCCTGAAGCTGTAATTCTAAGGCTGAGATTTTAGTTTAAAGATTAGCATTCTCATCAGTCATTGCATCTAATTTGTCTTACATTTATTTTTAATATGTGCCTAATTCTGAAGATTAATTTGTCAAGTTATCTAAATGATTCTCAAGACTTGCAATTTTAGCTAAATGACCTTAAATATCTGATTCCTTTTGCTTTAATTGGGATCTTATAGTCTACAGCTCTTGCTTTTACTAATTAATTGCATTCATATACTCAGTTCTTTAATTGCTAAGTTAGTCTTCTTTTTATGCTTGAATATCTAAAATCTATTTTTATAATGTCTCAATCATTTTTAATCTTTAATCTACTTATTCTTTGAGAATTAAAATCTCATCATTTTACTTAGTCCTCAAATCCTGTAAATCTCCTAATGATCTCTAAAGAGATATGATATCATCATCTTGGTTTTTGAGTCTTCTCTCTAATTCAGCAATTCTCTCTTTCTTCTATTAACACTCTTTTTAGAGATCTCCAGCTCCTCTCTTAAAAAGTTCTTTTTGTTCATCCAACTCTTTTTACAACTTTTACTTTTCTTCATTGACTCTCTCGATATCTATTTCCAAATGAGAAATCTTTTTCATTAATTCACTAATTTTATTCCTAAGTTCATCCTGGCTTTGCTATGATGTTTTAATTAGGACATTTGAAGAATCTTGGCTGGCTTTGAGGTCCTTGAGCTGCTTCTCTACTTCCCTTTTCAGTTGTCTTTCTCGTTCAATGTCTGCTTCAAACTCCCTTATAAGATTGATCTTTTTATTTAACTTTTCATTTAAATCATTAATGCTGTTTTTCATTTCATCAACCTAGTTGATATATTGAGTTATGGTTTGATCTCTATCCTAAATTTGCATTTGAAGTTTTTTTATCTCAGCCTTTAAGACTTCATTATTTCTTTCACTCTCTTTCAATTAATGTCTAAGATCATCTCTTAACTTCTCTTACTCCTTAAGCTAATTGTCGAATTCACTGTATTTTTCTTTTAAGTCTCTGATTTGTGAGCGCAGTGAGCTGTTGTCACTCGATAATTATTCAATTTTTTGACTTTTTGCTTCGATTTAAGTTTTAGCTGAATCTAATTATGACTTGACACTTGCAAATTCATCTTTAAGTTTCTCAAACTTCTTTTTTTCTTTCATTATAGCATCAAGATCCTTTGTAAGCTATTCTATTTTTACTGTTTGGTTAACAATCTACTGAGCATATTCTTTATTTTCTTGCTTTAGCTGCTCATTCATTTTCTATAAATTAGTTTTCTCTGCTCTTTCGTTTATGCAAAGTGCTGATAGTGACTCAAAATTTCTCTGTAATGCTTGAACAGTTGAATTTCGATGTTCTAATTCTTTTCTTTATTCCTCTATAATTCTTCTCAGTTCATTGCCCAATATCCTTGGCTATTTCAGTTGCATTTATAATAGCTATTTTACTTACATCCTTTATATCAGGTAAGAAATTTTCAATATCACCAGCCCCACCTGCATTTCCTCCAAAGAGCTTTGAAGTTGCTGAAGATAACTTATTAACATTTTCAACATCCTTGTTAAACTCTCCTCCAAAGTCATTCATGTTTTTCTATTTAAGATAGTTACCTATGAAAATAAGGGTATAATTACATTGCTATTCCCGTTCATGATTAACTTACCAGTACCACTCATAACTGAATTTGCTAGTACCGTAGATTCCTTCTACCCAACAGCATTTGAACTTATTTTTGCCATCTTTGCGTTGCTCATACTCGCACTGCTTAGAATGCCTCCAGTAAGATTGTTTGAGCTGGAGTGTGAAGAAGGTACTCTCACCTCCGATCCAACTCTACTATCCTTTATCATATCTCTGATGCCCTTATTTGACCTTGACATTAAAAATTGAATCAACGTTTATAATATTTCAAATACTCTATTCAATAAAATTAAAAAATGCAATCTTAAGGGGTTTTGGGGTTTTGGGGTTTTGGGG